GGTTTATTGTTTACTTTTGGATGAACAAATTGATATGTGGAAAGTTATGGAGCATGTTATTATAAGGGCAAAATGGTCTTTTAGCCTTAAAATGAATTAAAAATTCATTTTAGTTAAGTAAATGACAAATGGTCTTAATTAAAAAAATAGAAAAATCAAGAGATTTCTAATATTTTCTTCATTTTCTCCAAGTTTTCCATGAGCTATCTAAGGTATGGGAAAATATTTTTATTTTGATTTTTCAACCCAATTTATAAGTATTTTGGATGAAAGCATGAAATACAAAATTAATCTACATGAAATTCTCTATCATTTGGTACCATTGTTCCTGTTTTCCATGCTTGAAACTCCAATTTCTTGGATTGGATGGATGAAGGGGAGGTTAGATTTTGATGTTTTAAGACTTGATTATGATGTAGTTGACGTTGTAGAATCATTTTCATGCTTAAAATATGATTGAAAACTATTAGAAATGGTATATATATAATTCGAGCATAGTTATTGTAATTTCTTGGAAATGATGTTTGGAAGTTGAATTAATGCTTGAATCAAATTGAAAATCATGGCCAAGAAAGCATATAAGGTTTAACCATGGTAAAATAATTATGGTAAAATTTCCTCAAGGTTAGAAATGATGAATTTATGATTTTACAAGCTTTAGAATGTTGTTTGGACAAAGTTGTAAGTATGCAATGGTTAGGGGACCAAATCGTAAAGTGTAGAAATTAATGATTTTGATATGGAAATTGATTGGAATTGATATTGAAAGCTTAAAATGTTGTTAGATGTTAGAAATTGAAGTTAAATGGCAATGAACCATTTTGAATATTTTGGAAATATTAATGTGAATTCTTTTAGAATTCATTTTGATAATTAAATTGTGAAATTCAAAATGGTTATGTGAATTATTCATTGATTTGGACATTAAGAGATTTGAAGTTACATTGTGATGGATCAATGGTATTTTGAAGTATTAAATTTTGGTATTGATAAAATGAAATGAAATTAGTATCAAATAAGTATTGAAAGAATTTTTAGAATTTTTTATGCTAATGTGCACCTATGTTAGTAAGATTACTAACATGTAGTTTGCAATGCATATGTTTTGTAAATGATGTACATGAAGATTGTGATCGACATTGAGATACAAGGAAGCTTAAAACTAAAGAAAAAGTGCAAGAGTGAAGCTTATATCGTTAAGAAATGTTTGCTAGTGAGGCATACCAGGTGAGTGTATTCTTACCTATATTATATATATGATATAAGGAAGGCTTGTGATGAGGCAACCTTGAATGTTATCAAAAGAATATGATTTGATTACATTATGATATTTTCATAATATTTTGCTAAATGGTATTTGAATGAATTCGAGTATGAATTGCTCAATGCACTATTATATGATATTTTGATATAACTATCGATAGTGACATCTTTGGTACATATTTGATATATGATTTTTATAAAAGGCCCATTGTATGTGCATTGAGAGTCATTGGTACAATTGGCATGCCATGAGGTAGAGTGATTATTGTCACTAAGTGTATACTTAACTTGTGATGTTTTTACACATAGGTAAAGGAAAGAAAGTGGAGTAAGGAGCTTAGTTTGACATCATCTATTGAGGATCATCTACTAGAATCAATATGACATTTTTAGATTTTTATTTTTATTTTTTTATGAGCATGTATACTTATGTGGTTATGATACTCTTATATAAGTATGTTTAAAACTGGTTTATAGTATTATATATATACTAGCTTATAAGGGATAGTACTTATTATTACTAGTTATAAAAAATTATGTTGGTTAGTATTTTAGTAAAATATATTTTAATTGCTATCGAGATGAATTTTTATTTAAGCAGTTTTTAGGCAGTTTCATTTAATATATAAAATAGTATTGAATTGTCATGTTGTTGCTTGAAAATGGATTTGATTTGAATATTAAAATGTTATATTTCTATTTATGCGATTAAGTAGCTTTTGGTTACTAGTGTTAAATTTTATTTTTTGAAAGAAATAAAACTTTATTGATTTTCAAATAAGGATTGTTTTGATAAGTTTATATGACATCTCAGACTCATATTCGGGAACCGATTCAGGAATGGGGGTGTTACATGCATCATCTCCGGTCGAGACGCGCTCACAATTCACTCCTCAAACGATCGTGTACTCCTGCCTTTGTCCCTTCTGCCAAATCTCCGAATTCGTTGTACCAAAATGTCATAATATGTTGGTGAAAGGATTTCAGCCCTTAGTTTAGCCAAATTTCACGAATGAAACCCAGGCAAGCAAAAAGGAACAAAGAAATTAAAGAAAATTCAATTTTCTTTTTACATTTTTGTAATTTTTGTAAATGGGTATAAAACCCCAACAAATACCAAATGTAAAGATTGGCAACGAGAAATCAAAAAGAAACTTTTCAATGGCAAATTCAAAGCAATTAGAGGTTCAAACCTCATTTTATTTTTCCAATGCTTTCTTTCGTTTTATTTGTGGTGATTTCAAAGTGAAGAAGAAAAAAGGGGAATGATTGGGTTTACCTAAGCGTTAGGATAATCCTCTTCAGAGTCATCGCCGATCGGGAGGCACGATGTAGTTAGGGTCACAGATATATTTGGTGGTTTGCATGTAATGTTTGGGGGTTCGTTTTAAAGATTAGGTTAGAGCGAGGGTTCATTTTAAGTCTAAGTTTAGGACGTGGTTGGCTCGACCACCATTGACGATTGTCAAAGTTTTGAGCAGCCAATTTATGACATTTTTTTAGCTTCATTGGTTCGGTCGAGAGAATATAGAGAGTTTAGGGGAGGGTTTAGGTTAATTTTCCTTAAGTCCTTGGAATCTTACCGCGTTTTCACAAAATGATCATTTGATTGTTTTAATTTTGTTATTTTGCTTCGAACTAGGGTACTAAGCATGTTATTTTTCCTTTTTATTATTGGTCATTAGTTATTATGGTTAAAAAGAGAAAAATGCATTTAGGTCCCTCTAACTTAGCCATTTTTTACATTTTGGCCATTGTATCCTTATGTTTTATTTTAATTTAATTGATATAATGTTAGGTTAGTTCAATTCAAATTTGTTTTAATTTATTTCATTTTATTTCTAGCATATTAATACCATTAGGTTTAGATTCCTTTTAGTGTAGTCCCTAATTAAAGCCTCACTTTAGATTAATTTCACTTTTAATCCCTTAATTTAGGTAAATATTCGATTTGGTCCTCGCCTTAATTCCCAAGATTCCATTTCGATTATTCAATTCAATAATTAGTTAAAATCAATTAGGATTAATAATTAGAGCCTCCACTTTAGATTAATTTCACTTTTAATCCTTTAATTTAGGGAATATTCATTTTGGTCCTCGCTTTAATGCTCGAGGTTCCATTTTGATTATTTGATTTCATAATTTGTTAAAACACGATTAGGATTGATATTAGAGCCTATATTTTTATGTTTAGTCCTTTATGTCCTTTAAATTTCAGAATTTGACACTTTAATTTAGGTAGATGCCTTAATTAACCCGCTTAGTATAATTAGGCATAATAATAATTGATTGTTTGATTGCATGAATCAATTTCAAAACAAAGCCAATGTTCATTTATTAGAGGTTAATGGTGTATCTCCCGTGTTATGCCCTAGGGTGACCACTAGTAATTCTCGAAGTAAATTAACATCATTTTCAAAACTCTGCATCATGATTTCTAAATCCTCGAGGCAATATTTGTTTATTGGAATTGATAACGAAGCTTCTGCTACTGCCCAGGGTGGTCATTATTGGTTTTGGTAAATCATCATCTTCAAAATTTTCATATATAATGGATTTAAATTAAATAAAATTTAAAACTCAAAAATTTTAATTTAAAAAATAGGGAATTGACTAGGTACTAATTTTTTGGCACGGTGGGGGTGTTAATCATTCCTTACGTGTAACTAATTCCTGAACTCGATTTTTGATTTTTGTAGACCAAAACTTGGTACTTTTTATAAAATAAAATGTTTTATTAAAATTACCCGATTTTAGGTGTTCCAATTACACCTTAAAAATTATTTGTGACGGCTCCTATTTCAAAAAAAAAATGTTTCAGAAAAACCATCTTTGTACAATCTTAAGTACAAGTACAATTAATAAAACATTTAATTATCAATGACTATCAACCATCATGAAGAATAAACAAATATATTGATAATTATAACATATTTAAATTTAAATCATAATAAATCCAAATTAGATATATTAAAAGAAAATAAATTTTGAACTGAAAATTGAGGTAATTAGAAGATAATATTTATTCTAAAGATTCTAAACTATTTGACATTGAATGTTCAAACACTTTTGCATAAGTTGGCGCTCAAACCTAAGACCTTTAAGAAGGACAATATTCATCCTTTTAACCATTGAGGTAGCTTGATTCATATCGTTAAACTCTCAAAATTTTAAATTATAATTGTGCATATTATATATATATATATTATATTTTTTTATTTTTCAAATATAAATAAATGTTATTTTTTATGAAATTTACACTATCCTATTAAATCTAAACATGGCCTATTAAACATGAATAAATGTTTGTATCTAGATCATAATAAATTTAAATATGATGTATTAAATTGAAATAAAATTTGAATAGAAAACCTACGCACGAATAAATTTATGCTCGTTTAGATTTGAATTTAACTCTGCATAACTTTTAAATAATTGAAAGTATTTAGAACATATACAATTTTGTAATCCTCTTAACTTAATAAAAAAGTTTAATTGTGCATAATTCTAATTTTGTTTGAATTTTCAAACATAAATAAATGTTGGAGTAAATGTCCGGTATATTTTTCTAAATTTGGATAAAAGTAATTGTATTGGGTTGAAGAAATTGCAGCCCATGCACCCGAAGATGAGCCCCAGGTGCGGTCTTAGCCAGTTTTGGAAGACCAAAACATAAAATTGGTCAACCCAATTTAACACGTGTCACCTACACGTGCCGCTTAACCTTCACATCAATTTCCTCGCCGTTAATTTTACTTTCCTCGCCGCTTCCCCATTTCTATTTTCCCCAACTCGCTCTCCTGTCTGCGTGGCTCACCATGAACTCAGCTATCTCCGAGCGAGTCGAACTCGCCAAACTCTGCAGCTCTCGCGACTGGTCCAAGGCTATACGAGTCCTGGACTCGCTCCTCTCTCAGTCTTGCGCAACCCAAGACATCTGGTCCTTTAAATCTCTTTCCCCATTTTATTCTCGTAGATCTTCCAACTTTTTCCCTTTCCTTTACATTTTCATTTCCCTGATCGATGTTTACTTTTTTATTACAGCAATAGAGCCTTTTGTTATAGTCAATTGGAGCTTCACAAGCACGTGGTTAAAGACTGTGATAAGGCTCTTCAGCTTGACCCTAGGCTTCTTCAAGCTTATATTCTTAAAGGCATTGTTTTATTTTCTTCGATGATCCTCCTATATCTGAGTGTTCTGTTTCATTTGTATTGTTTAATGGCACTTATTGGTACCTGATTTTATTCATTTTTAATCAATTAGTTTGTTTATTGAATCTTAGATTAATCGAAAATGTTTTCTTGATCCTTGCATACCTTTTGGGTCTAAGATTCAAGTTTTAGGCCTGTGATTTTATGGTATTGACCAAAATCCTTTAGAACTGTTGATTTTGCTATACTTTAGATAAATTGGGTTCTGTTAATTTAGGGAAACATTTGCTTCTTTGTCATGCAACGCACACTTCGATTGAATATCATAATGAAATGATGCGTTTGACTTCTTGAAATTAAGTCTGTATCATGGTAGTATAGTATAGAACATTGATCAAGCTCTCTCTCAAATTTGAATGTCATTTGTGGTTTTCGATCACCAGGTTAGGCTTAAATCTGTTTACATAATACGTAATGAGAAAATTAACTGATCTAATGTATAATTTGTAATCAAAGTGATGTTTTCCTTGCTTTAGATTTTCTGGAGAATTTCCTGTGCGCTTTGTGCAACTGATGATGTCCTTTTATGTCTCATTGGGGCATTCGTCTTTCTTTCTGAACCATCACTGTTTATTTGACTGTAGACAGCAAAGTATATTGTCTTGTGTTCTAGGCAGGCTATTAAACTCAATGTTTTTATTTTCCTCGTATAGGCAGTGCATTTTCTGCATTGGGAAGGAAAGATGATGCTATTGCAGTTTGGGAGCAAGGATATGAACATGCTTTACGGCAGTCTGCTGATCTGAAACAATTGCTGGAACTGGAAGAGCTTTTGAGCATGGCAAAACCAGGCAAACAAGACTTAGGTTTCACCAGTGACAACCATGTGGCAGACTCAAAGTTATCTACCTGTGTATCCTTATCTGGACCTCATATTGATGGGAAGTTAAATAACTCTCTCATGTACCAAAATGAATACAATACCTCTAGGTTATTCCGAGAGCATAGCGTTGTATCGAACTTCTGCAACACGCATACTGACAACTTTGACACACACGATATAAATAGTGATGGAGAGAGAAGTAAGTCATCATTGTCTTTATCTGAGTTACTACCTGACAGATATGACATAACATGTGAAAGTTTCAAAAATCGCAATGTTTTGGGTGATGGATCTAAGTTAAGTATGGATTCTGCTGATGCTTCTGACAACAACAACATTTGCCGTGATAATTTTTGTTTAGGATCAAGTGATCTAACCAGTACAAATCAGAAGCTTTGTGGCCTGACAAATGGAACTCATAATAATTTTGACACACCTAGCTATGCTTCTGATTCAGGTACTGGTTTAAGTGAGAAATCAGAGCATTGTAGTGAATCCTCTGCCAGTACCAGAAACTCAAGTGATATAACTGAAAGCCACAGTCTGCCAAACAACACATTTGACCCAAATAATGAAATCAGTGATGAATCCAAGAGGAGTAAGAAGTTCTGCGTTGCTAAGATTTCAAAGACAAAGTCTATAAATGTAGACTTTCGCTTATCAAGGGGTATTGCACAGGTATGTTTTAATTTTTAACACATTTTCTGGTTTTAAACTTGGTACAATTACCAATTGCACTGTAAAAACATCAAGCCATGATTATGCTTGACAGGCAGTGTTTTTCCTTTTACAGGTTAATGAAGGAAAATATGCTTATGCCGTATCCATATTTGACCAGGTGATTCTTTCTTGTCATAGTAGGTTTCTAGCATGTAACGTTGACCCTCTTCGCCTTTTTCCCTGTCCCTTTTATTATATATATTTTTTAAACTATGTGCAGATACTAAAAGAGGATCCGACTTATCCTGAGGCACTAATAGGAAGAGGGACTGCATATGCTTTCCAACGAGAGCTTGAATCTGCCATTGCTGATTTTACGAAGGCACATTATAGATCTTTGTGGTTCATATGTCTAAACAAAGTCACAACAGTTTTTTCTGTGCTTCATATGATTAATTTTTGCTTTAGGCAATTCAATCAAAACCATCGGCTGGTGAGGCTTGGAAGAGGAGGGGACAGGCTCGGGCTGCCTTAGGAGAATCTCTTGAGGTGAGGAGGATCTTTAGCAAGTTCATTATCATACTGTCTTTGTTACCAAAGGAAAACATGTTCCTATTGTCTTTCCATAGTCGCATGTAATCTTTAGCATGGGTACATTGGTGTGGTCATCCAGGATTTTAAGGTTACTTAAATTCTAGGACATACTTTCTAGACTGGTTTCTACTTTCTATTCCCTTGCATGTTATGTTAGCGATTGCAAAATTGGATTTTGAATATAGAAGTGACTGATGGAAAATATAGCTTAATAGTTGTTATTTATGTCCTGAAGGATGGAAAATTTAGTGCCTGTTGCTACACTATATTGCTGAGTATTCCATCTGTGAAGCAAATAAAAGAGCTTAGTGCTCGACTGCTTGTGATAACTGAAGTTGACTTCTTTAATTGCATCTTTATGCTAGGCAATTGAAGACCTGACCAAAGCATTGGAGTTTGATCCAGATTCAGCTGATATATTACATGAAAGAGGTAGCTTGTCTAATCCAGCTCTTTCGTAATTTAGTTTCCTTACATTCTTATTTGGAATTGACTTGCTTAAATACTGAAAATTTTTGTTTATGTTTTCATGTCCTGCTTTTATGCTCAATATGAATGTCAAAAAGTAACTATGGTGTATTTTTGTTTTGATTATTCAAGTATGCTCTTTCTACCCGTTAATAATTTCAGTTATAATTTTTCATATACCCATTGAAACAATATTTGTAGGATCCAGTTCATATACATCAGTTTTATAACAAAAGACCGTTGTTTCTGGAAAATGAAAATCACTTTGTTCCAGGAAGTGATATGTTGAATTTGTACTTAATTCAGGAATCGTGAATTTCAAGTTTAAGGATTTCGATGCTGCTGTTGAAGATCTATCTGCATGTGTGAAGCTTGATGAGAGTAACAAGTCTGCATATACATATTTGGTTAGAATTTCACATATCTAACCTTGCTAGTTTTGGAGGAATCTGATACTTTTGGACTTTTTTCTCATTAGTTGATTTTCTCTGGCAGGGGATGGCATTATCCTCAATTGGTGAACATAAAAGGGCTGAGGAGGCACATTTGAAGTCAATCCAACTTGACCGAAGTTTTCTTGAGGCCTGGGCTCATCTTACCCAGGTAACTGTATTTGATTATTGTGATTTATTAGAGGAATTTTAGCACATCATTTTGCTCTCAAACTCAAATTCCCATGATTGTCCATACCTTTTTTCTTATAATTTTCTATAAGTCTACTATGTTTTTGGATTTTTTAGAAACTATTATTTATTCTGGTAAAAGTAGTTTTCTCCGCCAATCTACTTTAAACGTATTGCCACATGACTAACAGACTAAGTGATATCCTTGTCAGTTTTTAAGCAGATGACGGGGTGTGGTAGTGAGTGATAATTCGTGTGCATCTTGAGAAAACTTTTATATTGAAATAAAGCTAGTTTTTAAGAAGATGACGTGGTGTGGTAGTGAGTGATAATTCATGTGCATCTTGAGAAAACTTTTATATTGAAATAAAGCTAGTTTTCTGTGCTAACCTGCTTTAAATGTCTTGTGGCATTACTTGTGTGTGATTTCTTGACAGTTCTATCAAGATCTAGCAATCTCTGAAAAGGCTTTCGATTGTCTTCAACAAGTTATACAAATTGATGAAAGGTAAAATTGTCTTTTCATTCTTATCTATCATATCCCTCCTAGGATAGTGTGATTAATTTCCAGACTTGATAATTATTTGATTTACCTTTTCTTGTAAACTTGACACCCTTAATGTTCTTTGTAATAGGTATGCTAAAGCATATCACTTGCGAGGATTACTACTTCATGGGATGGGAGAGCACAGGTGTGTTCACTCAACTTTGTTTTCTGAATGTTTTGATTGTTCTCTGTTTTGGTATCATGTATTTATTTTTCTGGTGGTGATATGAGCCATCTATGATTCTATTTTTTCTCTGAAGTGCCATTGTAACTGAAGCAGTTGCAATTTAATATGTATAGTCTGTTGTGGTTGCATTGGCCAGCCATCAATAGTTTTTTTTCCTAATCCTTTATTCCTTGATCTGTTCACTTTAGGTTGTTCATCAGCACTATTATTGTCCCGTCTGTGCTTAAGTGACCGGACTTTTTCTTTAGTATTTTATTACTTGATCTTTAACTAGATTTCTTATTTACTAGCACTACCATTTTTCTCATCTGTGCTTTAAGTAAACCAATTTTACTGTTGCAGGAAAGCTATCAAGGATTTATCAATTGGTTTGAGCATTGAAAACTCAAATATTGAGTGCTTGTACTTACGAGCTTCATGCTATCATGCTATTGGAGAATATGCTGATGCGGTAAATAATATTTTTGAATTAGGAGACTGTTTGGGTAATTTATGACACTGAACTTATTGCACTTTGGCATTACTTTACTGTGCTAAAATTGAACATGCACAGGTCAAGGATTACGATGCAGCCCTTGATGTTGAACTTGACTCGATGGATAAGTTTGTGCTTCAATGTTTAGCCTTCTATCAGGTTTGTGATGATGCACAACAATGATTTTTGCCTGAAATTCGCTTCATTTGGTTTTCCTTTCATATCCTTGTTTTCAGTGATGGAATTGTTAGCATGTTCCTCTCTGGTCCATTTCTTTCGTGTTTTCACTTGTGATTAGTACTATCTTTCAGCTAATGGTTTCACATCAAACTTGATCCTAGATATCTGTTGAACCTGGAAATTTTTCTTGGTACTTGAAGATAAACAAAATGTGGCATTTTGATGGATCTTGTGGGTTTTCCTTGCTTTTCGTTTTGTACACTTCTTGGACGGATTTTATTGTCCCAAATTCATTTCCTATCTAGATTTTTCTTTTTTACAACTGTGATGGGTCTATGGCCAAAGATTTTTGTGTAATGCAGCAGGAGATCCAATCTGTCTCTCAGTTTTAAGGTGGCTACATTGGGCTGTACACCTTTTTCTCCCAAGCGTCCCTCAGTTGCATACCCTTCAACTTAAGGCATAATATTCATGTTTTCAGTGTTTTTATGAACTGTCATTCCATATACATGCCACTTTTCCCATTTGTTTTGTGTGAAATTATTTTGTGATACTACTTTTGTGTGTTTAAGAAAGGGCTTACTCCTCTCTTAAAGCCTAGTTTATAGTTCCTTTGACAGTGTTATTGATCATGTTTGATCATTTTCGTTATCTCATAGGATCTCTGAACTTGAAATTCTTCATTTGCAGAAAGAGATTGCTTTATACACTGCTTCCAAAGTCAACAGTGAGTTTTCGTGGTTTGATGTTGATGGAGATATAGATCCACTGTTCAAGGTGATAATTCATAGTGATCTTATTAAACTTAAAGTTTCCTATTGTGTGCGTGCTTTTGTTTTTTTTGTTCTCTTTTAGTATTACTGGTGTATCCATCTCTTTTGCACTAAGATTGTGAATTTTCTTTTGCATTTAAAATGCAAGGAAAATTAATATTTTTTTCTCTTCCATGACTTCTGTTTTCCATCATTTGAGATTTATCTTGTCTTTTGTCCTTCTTGTTTCTTACATTCATTCTTATGTAGGAGTATTGGTGCAAAAGATTGCACCCCAAGAATGTATGTGAAAAGGTTTTCAGACAGCCTCCATTGCGCGATTCTCTGAAGAAGGGAAAGCTTAAAAAGCAATATATGGCTGTCACAAAGCACAAGACTGCTCTTATACTAGCTGCTGACTCAATTGGCAAGAAAATTCAATATGACTGTCCTGGTTTCTTACCCAATAAACGCCAGGTAATTAGTTTTGAGAATGATGTAATTTTCTGGGTTTTCTTTTCTTTATTTATCCCACTTCCTCACCTTTCCTCAGTGTTTCATTGGCTCCCTTCTAAAGATTTTCCCTCCTTGAATTCAGCTGGCTTGATGAAAAACTAAGAAACTCATCTAAAATGAATCTCTACAAACAAGAACAAGGATGAATTCGTGTATGTTCATTTGTGCGTGCTTGCTTCCCTTTTTTAGAAATCAGAGTAATTCTCTGTATTTTCATATTATTTTCAATAGGACAAATTACATATTTATATACAAATTATCTCTCTAAAGTAGGAAACACTTAAGAAAGGAAAAATACTAATCCTAGGATGTGATCCCTTAAAATAAGGGATTGTATAAATATATATACAAAATCCCTTAATTAAAGGAATGATATCAAATCATAACAAATCATATCTCTATAATTCCTACACTCCCCCTCAAGCTGGAGAATATACATTGTATAATCCCAGCTTGAATAGGAATTTATTGAAAACAAGCTTTGGCAAAGCCTTAGTAAGAATGTCTGCAACTTGTTCTTCTGAAGGAATGTATGAAAGTGTGACTGTCTTTTTGTTAACTTGATTAGTTATAAAATGCCTATCAATCTCAACATGCTTTGTCCGATCATGTTTTTTTTATAGGAATAGAAGGCCTCATTAAAAACCTCCCTCATAGATAGCCCTTTCCCAACAGAAAGGATCCACTATTGGAGGGAGGAAAAGAGTGTCTCGTTTTATTGTTGAACCAAAATTACATAAAACTTAACAATTACACCAGAAATCCTGACATAAAACTTAAAAACTCCACCTACTTGAAAAACCTACTAATTGGGAAGGAAAATAACAAGCATCTATAGTCTTACAATCAACCAATCCCCGTCTTTGCTAAACTATATGCCTCCCCATTACAAGCCCTTGGAATCAACCTAATTAACAACACCTTTTCAGAGAAGAGTGATTGAATTTCTTTAACTAGAGGCAATAAGAAAATAGGTGCCAAAGCCGGAAAGTGAACCCACTCCACTGCTGACTTGCAATCACTCTCAACAATCAACCTAGTGACAGAAAACCATCGTGATGCCAAAAAGATTTCAATGTCTCTTTTAATAGCCTTTAACTCAGCAACTGGTGGGGAACCTTGACCGATATTCTCTGAGAAAGTTAACAGAGTACAACTATTCCAATACCTAAGGATACCTCCAATCGAGTCACTTAACCTTACAGCTCCATCGACGTTCATCTTCAAAAAATCAACAGGGGGTAGCCAGCAAAGCACAGAGCAATCCTTTGATTCAGAAACCGAAATTCCATCTGCAAGTGAAGGATCCCCAATGAGCAAATCCTCTTGTATAGGAATTTTGGGATACTTGGCTTTAAACCACTTAGATAACCTAAATCTTACAATGAAAAACAGAGAAATCCTATCAAGAAATAATCCTTCAAACACAATCTCATTCCTTGCTTTCCAAATAGACCAAAAAATGACTCTTGGGATAAACTTCCAAATCAATGACTTCACCCTCAAATTCCCCCACGAGATAAGGAAGGAGGGTCCTTTGGTAAAACTACAGATAAATCCCAAAAGCTTACTACCTTATTCCATAATTCCCGTACTACATTGCACGTAATAAACAAATGCTGCACTGATTCCTCATGCTTCTTACAAAATTGGCAAAGGATATCTTCCCCTAGGGACATTCCTCTGTTAACCAACTCCACTTTTATTGCCACTTTCTGATGGGCTAACTGCCAAAGAAAGGCTTCAACCCTTGGTGGGGACAGTCCCAACCACTCCCCCTTTGACCACAAATCATTGTTCCCAACTTCCATCCCGAGCGCATTCCTGCAAGATTTGACTGAGAATAATCCATCCCCACTAGCTGACCACGAGAGACTATCCTCTACAGAACCTGAAATTTTTATATCCTTCAATTTCAACATCAAATCCATCCATTGATCCAATTCGCAATCAGACAAATTCCTCCTAGTGCAAATATTCCACACCCAACAATTTGATTCATGACTGCCAAATTCAGCAACCTTGCCCCATTTGTTAGGGGATAATGCATAAATTCTCGGGAAAAGATTTTTTAGAGGAACCTCTTCCATCCACGGATCAATCCAAAATAAAATAGACTTTCCATTACCAACTTGCAGCTTCGAACAAATACCCACCGAATCATTCTTCCAAAAATTGTTGTCAATACTTCTCAAAATCCAAGATCTAGGTGAAATAACCTTGCTGATAGACATCGAGTTGCAACTGATCTTGTGCTTGCTACATAACACTCTTTTCCATACGGAATTCTTTTCATTTGCGAACTTCCACACCCATTTCCCCAATAGTGCCCGATTCGTAAGATTCAAATCAAAAACATCAAGGCCACCATTGCTCATAGGTTTGCAAACTGAACTCCAATTAACCCAGTGAATCTTCCTCTTATCCTCGCTGTCACCCCATAAAAATTTAGCCATTAAAGAATTTAACTTCTTACCTACTTTGCAAGGCATTTTAAAAAATGATAAGAAGAATATGGGAAGGGAAGATAACACAGACTTCAATAGGACTGTCCTACCAGCCAAAGAAAGAGAAGAAGCTTTCCACCCGGCTAGTTTAGAATTAATATTTTTAACAACTGGCTCCCATAAAGCTTCTGAATTCTTCCTAGCACCAAGGGGGAGTCCCAGATATTCTGTTGGAAAACGATCAACTGAACAACCCACTTCCAACGCCCAATCAGATAGGATTACCTCATCAGCGTTAATCCCAAAAAGTTTACTCTTCTCTAAATTTAAATGCAACCCCGCCATTATACTGAAAATCCTCAAAATTCTTTTAACGTTTTTAATCTGGGTAAGTGAAGCTTGACAAAAAATGATGAGATCGTCAGCACTGAAGATGTGATAACCGAAATGAATTTTCAGAATTCCCAATAACAAAGCCTTGGAATAGTCCTTTATCCACTGCTTTAGAAAGCATCAAATGCAGCAGCTCCCCTACTATATTAAATAAAAGCGGCGAGAGACTACATCCTTGTCTAAGCCCTTTAGCCATAGAAAACTCATCCGAGGGGGAGCCATTTACAAGAACCGAAATAGAAGCTGAGGAAAGGCACTGTGAGATCCATGAGTACCATTTCATACCAAATCCCATCTCCTTCATTGCTCTAATTAGTATAGGCCATTCAACATAATCGTAGGCTCTCCGAAAGTCAACTTTTAGTACCACCCCTTGTAGTCCTTGTTTTCTCCAATAATCGATCCCTTCATTAGCAATAAAGGCACAATTCAACAACTGTCTCCCCGGTATAAAAGCGAACTGGGAAGGACTAATGACATCACCAACACAGCAACTTAGTCTCTTAGATAAGAGTTTTGATAGAATCTTGTACAAACTGCCCACAAGGCTAATTGGTCTAAAGTCTTCTATATTTTTCGGATTTAATTTCTTCGGAATTAGAGTAATAAAAGCATGATTTATCCCATGCTCCCACTTCCTTCCTATATAAAAATCTTTGAAAAATTTCAACACATGCTCCTTTAATGCAGGCCAACATTTCTTGAAAAAACCCATTGTGAACCCATCCGGTTCTGGAGATTTAGAGTTGTCCGAAGTAGCAATTGCTTGCCAAATCTCCAGTTCTGAAATCTGCTCCTCTAACTTAGATGCCTGATCCCGTGACAGTTTTGTAAAGTCTAGAAACAAGTCCTCCACTTCCATTGTTAAAATGGAATTATACTCGGTCTTGAAAAACTCAGAAATATGAGTCTTAATCAAGATAGGATCTGAAACAACACTTCCATTGATCTTCAAGCTAGTAATGGCATTTCTTCTACTTCTATTTAGAGCAGACGTGAAAAAATCTTGTGTTTCTATCCCCATCTTTAATCCATCTTGTTCTTGCTCTTTGAAACCAAATACTTTCCTCAATCCTGTATAACCTCCATAGATCTGATCTAAAGCTGCTTGACCTGTTCCCATTCCTGAGTAGAGAGACTACCACCTTGCGCCTTAAATTCCAACTCATTTATTTTCCTTTCGGAATCTTCAATCGACTCAGAAATCCCATTAAGTTTCCTGCTTGACCAGATTCTAATTGATTTTTTGTTCCCTGCAGAATACTGAAGATGCCACTTCTTTTGTTCCTCTCTCTCAAGCCATCCATGGTAGATTTAACCAAGTCCTCAAAACCTTCTTCCTCTAATAGATCATTATAAAATTTGAAAGGTTTAGGGCCCCACTCCACAGACGATTCCTCCAAAGAAACTGGATTGTGATCAGTTAGAGACCTAGGTAACAATCTTTGCACTACCCTCGGAAAACTGGTAAGAAAATTCCTAGAAATTAAGAAAATTCCCCCCTATCGTTCTCCTAAGAGCCATAGAACAATTAGCTAGCTTTGTTTCTTGGATAAGTAAGATGCACAGCTTATTCTTTTTCACCAAACGGGACACTGCTCTGGATTTCTCCTTTTTCCCCAATCCCCTTATGTTCCATGAAATAATATTGATAACTGTCATAAAAACAAAACAAAAAGAACCCAAAAGCCTCTGAACTACGAAGCACCAAATCCTAGTCCTCTACTTTCAACAGTTCCTACTATCCCCAAACCCTCCTCAAGATTAGCTATTTTTTCCAAAAAAGCTTTCTTCCCTTCTTTGAAGGAAATCCTCAGCATCCTACTAACTCCCCACGTAGCCAATGCCTCATCCAAAAACAACGAGAAAGGAGAGTAGGCCGTAGAAGAACTAACCACATCCAATGCTTCCCTTATCAAAATCCTTCTCTCTCCCCTTCTCTTTCTCCTTCTCTGTTTCCCTACCCCTGCTCCAGATAAGAAACCTACTTGAACCTCTTCTACACTCTCAGAGTGCTGGAATTTATCAACATCTTCTTTTGGAGAACCACCATCCTCATCAACACAAATGTTACCTTCCTCCATTAAAATTGGAAACGAATGAGTGTTCGCGATATGATTG